CGAGTCTCACCTTTTGGGTAACTTTTGGCTAAGAAAATTCCCACTTCCATTTCAATTTGGTACAGAGTTCTTCACTTCCTATTTCAGACTTCTGTGTCATGTTGCTCTAGGTTTAGACACCTGCCACATTCTTTCCCATTTGTGTGTATGTGAAGCCCTTTGAGTAAAGGTGCTGGAAATCTGCCCAAGGAAGGAAAAAAGCAATGAAAAGTTCCATAAATGTGTATTCTTGGTATGTAGGTAAAATTCCATCACAGCCTCTGTTGAGTCTCTTATGTTTGTCTGATCGTGTAAGCAGGTAGTTGAAGTGAGGTGTGATTTGGAGGTATGAGACACAAATCAGACTCCTGAAAGTGGCATCCTATTCTGGGAGGGTCGAGCACCAGCATTCTAAGCTGGTATTGTACATTGTAACGCTAGTTGTGCAGACACAGAAACATAAAACCTAAAAGGTACGTCCCAGGTTAACTCGGTAACAGCAAGACTTCAAGAAGCACTGTGGAGTAACCTTTTTCTTTTCTTGCTAGAATTGAGAGGAAAATTGCTACAATATCATTGGAGAGCAAATCTCCACCGAAGACTATTGAAAATGGTGAGTTTGGCTAATGTTAACCCTCCCTTTAAATGTACTTTGCTGCCCTCTGGTTTTTAGGGTGTCCGTTGGTAAGCAGGCTTTCCGGGGGAGAACATGCCTTTCAGAGCAGAGGCGTGCTAATCCCGAGCCTGAAGGGGATTGCCTTCATCACATTACTAGATTTTTCAGGCCATCTCTTTGTAGTTGGTTGCTTCAAAAGCCCCTTTAAATTTATGGTTGTAGTCCTGACTCTTGGCACCTGGATAAAATTATGGGTAGAATAGAGCATGTTAGAGGGTTTTACTCTTTTTTCCTAGACAGTGGGAGCTTGACCCACTTTTGCCTTAGTGGATTACAGTAGCCTAATCAGTCCTTTGAGATGCATCTATTTCGGGTCGCAGAGGGATTGATAGCTTCTGCATTGTCCCTGTGTGTTGGGAAAGCAGAATCAGCTGTTACAATGAGTAAAGTTGTTGGACAGATTTTGCTTACTGAAGATTAAATGAATTGTTCATTGATGCATGCAATCCTTCTTCCAAATTAGGTGGCAGTTTAGCTGGGAGGAGACAAGCACAAACCAGTGAGAACATCAATAGCAGTAAATGGAAGTCTACCTTTTCGCCAATTTCGGACATCAACCTGACCAAAACGACAGATAGCCCATTGCAGGCTGTTCCATCTCTGAGCCAGAATTCTCTGTTTGCCTTTAGGCCATCCTCTGAAGATGGCATGGCCATTGATGCCAAAATTGCAGCACATACAAGGAAAAACATCACTATGTCCTCCTCTGGGACGGATGGACTCAGCTCCAATACAAACTCCACTAATGGAGCCATGTACAATGGTGGGCTGACCGCAGACCTTGGTTTACACAGCTTTACTGATGGTGCTTCTCTTCCTCATAAGAATTCAGATGTGTCAGCCCTCAACGCCTCGCTGGGTTTTCAGTCCCAGCGGAGCAAAGATGTGGGGATTCTGGAGACAAATCCCTTTTTGAACAAGAGGCAGCTTGAAGGCCTAGTCAGCATGAAAGGAGAAGACTTAAACCGGCCAGGGGTCAAAAGTAAAGAGCTCAGTGAACTAACCATTCGTCCAGGAGCTTCTGACAAAAGTTCCTTGCAGCACAATGGCAAGGCCAGCAAAGGACGGGACCGAGATGTGGAGTTTAAAAATGGCCACAACCTTTTCATTTCTGCTGCTACTGTATCTTCTGGTGGCCTTCTCAATGGCAAAAGCCTTTCCACTGGTGTCTCGCCTGCAGGCAACCCAGCGCCTGCTGTTCAGACGCACCATCCTTTCTTAAACACCTTGACCACTGGATCGCAGTTCCCCCTGGGCCCCATGGCTTTGCAGGCAAACCTCAACTCGGTCACCAACTCCTCAGTATTGCAGTCCTTATTTAATTCAATGCCAGCTGCTGCCAGTCTGGTCCATGTCTCATCAGCTACAACCAGACTGACTAACTCTCATGCTATGGGGAACTTCTCTCCCGGGGTTACAGGTGGAACAGTTGGAGGTAGGCAGAACTTTCTTTCTCTGGTGTAAGGGCAGGGCTGGAGGCAGAGTTTCTTTCCCTTTCATTGCTGCAGGAGCTGGAGCAGCTCTGCCTTGGACTGAGGGTCCTGCATCACTCAGGGCTGATGGAATTAATCCAGCGCAGTGGACAGAACAACCAGCTTTCTATCTGCTAGATGAGCGTAGAACTAACCGTAAGGGAAACGGGCGTTTGCCTACAGGTTCTGATTTCATAACCGGCGAGGGCGTCCGTGGTCACAATGCTGGAACCAGCTTAGGTCTCCCTGCAGGTCTAAAGGTTTAACGTGTCATGCAGCCCTCCATGAACAATGAAGGAAATGCGACATCTCAGCCTCGGGGAAGGTTGAGACTAGGACATAAGATTCTTTCCCCCTTTCATGTTTGTGCTGAATATCCGTATCGTTTTGAGATCAGATGCTGATGGGCTGTGTAGCATTCTGCTAGTTCTTGAACTGACCCTGATGAGAAGATTGTTTCTGTGCCACGAATAGCAAACGCCATGTGCTCCTCTAGCATTCTATGCTTCTGTTCTCTCATTTAGTGGCAGCAGGTAGGAAAGACTCTTCCGCTGACCCCATAGCATTGGCAGGTTCAGAGAGGTCCTGCCCATAATCATTCATGCACCATGTCGGGAAATCCTAACTCTCATCACCTCTTAGCGTGTATAGATTGTTGGACAGACACACCCTCCCCCGGCAGCCTTGTAAGTGGGTAAGCAGGAGGGAACAGCAGTAATTCCAGTCTTCAGCTAAAGAGCTCTAGTGACTCAGAGGGTTGCCTGCATGGCCTAGAACCCAAAGCTCTGCTTTTTCCTGGGTCAGGCCGCTGCTCCCCATGGCACTTGCAGGCTGGCGATAGGAAGGTAAGTGACTCTAGTACCCCCTGGCCTGCACCATTATCTCTCATTGCTTGCTGCTATTTCATGCTGCATATTTTGTATGGGGCTGTAACTGCTATAATTTTGCTTTTTTTTGGCTTTTTGTTTTGTTTCTCTTGTCGCTTGTGACTGTACAAAGCCCATCTGTTGAAGCTGAGTTTTTTTTCTCCTGTTTGCAGGTATTTTTAACCATGCGGTGCCTTCTGCCTCCTCTTCTCATCAGTTTGGAGCCAGTTTCAGCAGCAGTGCTGTTTCTAGCAGCACAATGCTAAGCTTAAACCCTCTGCAGGCTGTTGTCAGCACCTCCTCCTTCCAGTCCCCCTCCTCTAGCTTAGTGACATCCAGTGAGAACAGAGCCGTGCAACACCTAAACAGAGCGCCGATGCAGTCTGTTTTTCATACCCCTCCTCCACCCCCTCCTAATGTTTCATTGCCGCCTCCTCCTCCATTACTTGCTTCTAACTCTGAGCCTGTGCTTCTGCAAAACTTGGCATCCATCCCAGCTAACGATGCTTTTTTACCATCCTCTTCTGCTGCTTCTGTCCAATCTGCTAATGCTTCCTTGTCTATTAAGCTAGCTTCTCTTCAGCACAAAACTTCCCGTCCCTCCTTTACTGTCCATCACCCTCCTCTGCCCCGTTTGGCGTTGGCACAGACCGCGCCCGTGATCCCGCAGTCCAACGCAACTGGCACGTCTGCTATGTGGGTTACACTTGGCATGCAGTCTCCTTATGCTTCGCACCTTTCTGGGGTTAAGCCACGATAAAGAGCTTGCTTAGCTAACAGTTCTTATTTTGTAAGGTAAGGCTAGAGAAAACAGGAGGTTTGTACAAGATACTGAATGACCTTCCTTTCCTTTTCAGCCGTCAGCCTGGAGCTGACTTTGGAAGGGGGGTAGGAACAGATTCTTTGGCCTAATACAATGTAGGTAATCACAAGGCAGAAGGGGGGGGGCGCCATTAAAGCGCCTCAGTTTTGGGACTAAGGATTTCTCGACACGCTGAGTGCTCACCAGTCTAACTCTTCCCTCCTCTGATATCCAGGAGCATTGTGCTCAGGCCTGGGTAGCAGAAATTGCCAATTTATGTAAGATGAGGCCATGTTTCCTGCAGTATCACTACTTGAAAAAATGTGCTGCTTTGAGAGCCTGAGAAAAATTAAGAAGAGGAGCTGGTGGCTCATATTTTCCAAGCACCTGTCTTGATATGCAGCCCTGCAGGGGTTTGCTGGCTAATCTGTGTTTTGCTGGGTTACTCCCTCACACCACATGGTGTGCTCCTGCTCAGGTTGGCATGTCATGCCACTGCGTGCTGCTGCTGCTTTGACATTCGGTGGCAGTGTGGTATTGTCTGGGTGGCCGCATACCGCATTTGCCCCCTCTAGCTAAAAACGGAAAACTCCATGTCATGGACTACAGCTGCTTTCTCCTTGCAAACAACGGAGTCAGGGTGATCTGGTAGTGGGTTGCAGATGATGTGACCCTAAGCCAAGTGCTGTGGGAACTGGCGTTACAAAAGCAGCCTGGCGACTCCCATCTCTGGCTGACAGTGGCAACCTGATCGAATCATTCTCTGTAGCCTGTGATGATCATTTTTATTAGCTGAGAGTAGGGAAGGAAGTCTCCGTTATCTGCTCCCAGTAGCTCTAGTGGCCTTCCCTGGTAGGTATAGCACAACCGATTGCATCAGCCACCATGCTGTACTGGCCTTGGCAGTCTGGGGTTCGCTAGATGGATTACACTAAGTTAGTGAGTGACTAGCCTGTGCTAAATTCCTGCCCAGGCAAAGTAAGGAATGAGGCTATGGAAGAGGAGAGCCTCTGGGCGTGCATTTCAGCAAAGCATCTCTCAGAGCACCTGCAGAATAATCTGCACTGCCAGAAAGTCTCTAATCGTGGAAGTCTTTGGGTTTATAAAGCACTTGGATGACCTAATTTAAGCCACTAGTAGGCAACTCCTGCAAGTCTCTGGTGCTGCTGTTTACCCTTTGGGACAGACGTACCTTCACTATCACGTAACCCCCTTTGCCTTTGGAGGCATTTGACTAAAGTATGGTACACACCCAGGTTCTTATCAAACACTTTGCACGCAGTTAGTGTGTTCACCGGCAAATTGTTCTCTATATGTGATCCCAGCCTCGTAACACTCAGATGTAGCTTCCAAATTTGCAGATGGGAAAAGCTGAAGCAGAGAGATCTAGTAACTTGCCTAGAGCTTAAAAACCGAGTGGTCCTGGAGCACGTTAGAGGCTAATAAAGTATATAGATAGTATCATGAGCTTTCATGGGCACAACCCGCTTCTTCAGACCAGAGGAACAAGAGGCACCGAGGGGCACAGAAACCCCAAAATATAAAGCAGAAAAAGAGGGGAGAGGAGGAGGGGGGAAAAACCCTCTGTTACGGTGTCCGTGCTAAGTGAGGCTGCAGCTTCGGTTGGTTTCTCAGTTAAGTGGAACAGGGTGGTGGCTGAAAGAGAGGGGAGCCATGGATGGAATTTTGAATTTGGAGAGGAAGGGTGTGACTAGAATGGGAGGGATTTTTTTTGTTTGTTTTTTCATTAGAAAACGCCTGTTTGTCAAAATTGAAACTTTTCAGAAAGGCCTCAGACTAAGCTGTCATCTTGCAGGTGTTTCAGATTGTGGGGAAAAGACCCACTCCACAAAACTGTTAGCTAGAAGGGCACTCACCTGTTATGTGGGCGAAGTAGGTTCAGACAGGTTTGACCTGTCTCCACGTCCCACGTAGCTGTCTGGTAGGACCATGGTGTGCAGGGTCTTGCTCAGGTGTGTGGGGTTTTTTGGGGGGGGCCGAGGGAAGAGATTTCCAAAGGCCTTGGGGTTTTCCTGTGGCAGAACAAAATGCAAGAGCAGAACCCCAATACATGGCATAGAACAGAACTTGTATTCAGGCCCACTAAGGTGTGACTACGGTTTAAGCTCGATGTAAAGCAAAAGTCTAGAACCCATGGCACATACTGGCTTTGACACATCGAGGCGTCTATGTCAGCAGATGGTGGAGACTTCCAACACAGACAGGTATTGAATGTCCCAGTTCACAGGGAACTTGAACATAGTCCTTACCCTAAGCCAATGGAAATGCCCCAGTTGACTTTCAGTGGGCTTGGAATCAGGCCCCATATGCCTGATTTAAACAGATGAATAATCCCCTTATCTTCAGTAGGCTACTGGTGTTTGCTGTGCTGAACTGGAGCCTGAATCTAGGAGCGAGGGTTCAGATGGTGTCACTGCGTAGCCCAAGAAGGGCTGGGGTGCAACAGAAGAGGCTGTTGGGTCTTGGTCTCTGATTTTGACCGATAGCAACACGTGGATTGTTCTCCTTTCTGTCCCGTTTGCTCCTGGATAACAGAAGAGCTAAGAACTTGGCAGCGTGTGACGTTTCTGGCACACACTTGATTTGATGCATCTAATTTAGACTGGTGTCTTCCTCTCCTTGTCCTACAGGTAACTAGGATTTCTACCTCAACCCAATGTGACCTATGCAAGGACAACATGGACCAACTTCACTCAGCTTCCACTGAAAGGTGCTCGCCTGGCCTGGCAGGGGTTTCTACTCTTACTACTGGACAAAGTAACAAACAAGTGACAGACCCACACAACAGAGAGAAGAATATTCTACTGTGAATCGGAGTTAAAAAGTAACTGCAAAGGAAAATGCTTAAAAAAGCTCCAATTTGTATTGTTAATAGTTTAGATAAAGTATTTATCTTTTTTTAAAAATGGAAACAATTTTGACTTACTTTATTCCATCTAAAGTCATAAAAAAACCACAACTAATTGAAATAATTCTCTGAATAATAAAGGACTGGCACACCAGCAGAGATGTAAAGAGCCTCCTCTCGGTGCTATTTCATCCGTCAGAACTGTGCCTCTCTAGTTCAAATCCTTGGTGCTGAATATGAGGGTTGACCAATGCCAAACCAGTTCTCAGAAAGGTCTGCTTTTATTTATTCAACTCACTCTGTTCATATACCAAAGTCTGTTGGTTTACAGCATAGCAGGAGTACAGAAAATGGCAGTCTTGGTTTTGGGTGGTTGATTCTTCTATTTTTAACAGAGCTTATGGCTGAGTTATCAGGCATTTGATATTGTTTGTAACTAACAAGAATGCAATACTCCCCTCTGGAATGGCAGCTAGATCACGTGATCTGACCCACGCGAGCTCAAGTGGGTCAGACACATTGAACAGAAGATGTATAATTTGCTAGTCCTGTAGACTACTCCACTGGGCCCATTAAAGCCTTTAGTGGCGCTCAAGTCACTGTGAATTTCAGTAGATAGACTGTTAACTTGTTTTGGGATGTCATTGGCATATGAACAGGGTGCATAATCACTGGTGTTGGTCAGGCCCTTTTAACAATATTGGGAAGATTGAAAACTGAGCTTCTGTGCTGGGACAGATAACCGATTGTGTGTTGTTTTTGTTGAAGTACAATGTATTTTGTTAGTTAGGTTTTGATACTTGATTCTGAAATGGCTCAGCCCTTGTACATTTTATTGACTTCTAAGTGCATTCGCTTTTGTATTTCTTTGCTTTGAATAGGTTTAAATGGTAGTTCACAAAAACACCACAGTCTAGCTTAACTTGCTGCCACACTATCAAACTGGTGCATTTTGAATTGTATTGTGACTTGGTTTTCTGTGTACAGAAAAGTGTCACTCTGAGCAGTGACCATATTTTATAGACATGATGAAAATTTATAAATTTCATAAACTTTATTCAGTTTATTTTTTAGGTTGTGATATGCACCGTAAGCTTGTAAAAAGTTGTTTTTATTTATTTAAGTGCACAAAATGAGGAGGAGGATCCATTAGTTCAAAATCATCAACCTGCAGCATAGACTGGACCAAGCACAATAAAGGAAACTACAGTAACAGAGGGGGAATCGTTAGCAGCAGCAGGACTAGATTCAGAGCACGCTGGTGCTCAACTGAACACCTGCTAGCCTTGGAACTTGGTATCCTACAGTCTGTTCCAGCTAGGTTGTTAGTCTCTGACTTCCAGCAAGCAGCCATTCGCTGTAGACGTGAGCTCTCCCTTACCAGCTACCTAGAGCCGTTCCCCCTTGTCACAAAGTGCTGGGCTTCATGAATCAACTGCCTAAATGGAGCAGGCCAAATACCTTTTCACGCTGTCCTGTGCTGTGCTGCTGGGGCTGGTTTGACAGTTATCTGCGTTCAGTGCTGGTTCTTGTGTCCCGAGTAGCTGATGGAAGTGTTCTCCTGCTTTCCTGATCTCCCCAGCTCCCCCTTCTCCCCACATGAGTGAACCAGTCCTGGAAAGGTGCAATATCCTGATGAACAGTTCTCACTATTTCAAATGAGCTGTTTCCCTTTAGATCACATTGTGGACAATGGCATAGACGTTAACCAGCTCGATTGTGCTGTCAGCTCCTAAGTGTGCAGGCCTCTCCCAGAGGTGACCCCTTGTAGGCAGAAACTGTTCATGTAACTTGGCCTTATTCTTGATCACCAAGGGGACTGATCCTTATCCCTGATCGCCAGGAATCTTTTAAATCGTGCACAGAAGAGGGGAGGTTCCGCATCCAGACGGATTCCGAGCCCCATGGGGAGAACCTAAAGCAAGGAAAGTAATGCCCAGTGAGTGATAGCAGAGGAACATCCGATAGCTTCTAGTGGAAGCCATAAACAGTCCTGCCCTGGAATCCAGGAGAGCATGTAACCCAGTTGTTGTTCAGCTGGGAACTGGGCAGCTTCAGCCTGATCCAGATCTTTAGGTGACTGGAAGATGTGTAGGGCCTTCTCACCAGTCTCAGTCCCAATGAAAGGCAATAAAATGCAGGCTCAGGTCCTTGGAGGATATAAAAAAGGGTAGTTAATGAAACCGAAGGGCCCGTAGCTTTGCCCTTCTGTCCGCCTCCGTTATGCTGATGGACGCCCAGCAACAGCCCTGAGAGGGAGAAGAGCAGAAAATGCACAGCATCACTTGAGCGGTCTGCCTTCACCAGACGATGATTCCCCCCTAGCCATGTGCAAGGCCTGGGGCAGTCCTAGCCCTACTACCTAACAGGACTGCTGTTCTGAGGGGGTTGAGACCCTCCCTGTATTGGGAGGTTTAAACGTTCTTCTGAGGGCAGAAGGGTCCTGCAGGGATTCCTGAGGTTCTTTGCCTTTGTTAGCTTCCTCCCCCACAGCTTGACTGTTGCAGCCCTCTGTGTCCCGCACATTCTACTTGCGTGTGGATTTTGTATTCCCAACAATCCCAGCTGAGCTGGACCTTCGGGGAAGTGACTCAGGGCAGAGTAACGGGAGAGGCAAGACGATGGAACCTGTTGGTTCTCACCAAACAGGACATTTTGCTCTGTGCTGCCTCCTGGGAATTTCCACTTTTCCATGGAGAAATTGGGAAATAGATTCGTAATATTTTGGGGACTCTCATGATACACTAGGGTCAGGTAAGAGACCTGGGTCTTCCTCTTGCTCTTTGACTTACTTACTGTAAGCTTGGGCAGGTTGGTTCAATGTTTCCTCCATATGTTTCTCCATGTTCCTCATCTGTAAAATGGGAGGATCCCTGCCTTTCTTAAAGTGCTTTAAGCTCTCTGGATAAAAAGCTCCATGTAAGTGTGAAGTGCTATTAAAAAATATCTAATCTACGTGGCTGGAAATGTTTTAGTGCTTGTGAACACAGCAAGAAAGCTCAGTGCCCAAGTTTGAGACCTGTTCTTGGTAATGAGAGGTGGTGCTTAAGCCAAACTATGAAGTGTTGGAAAGGAATTCTTTGGGGTTTACGCTTTCCTGCACTCGGCCCAGCCATTCTCCCACATTCCTTCTCATCCGCATTGCTGCTGGGCAGGGGACTCGTAATGAAGCTAAAACACTTTGCCAGAAAAATGGAACTTCCAGAATGTCGTGTTGAACTAAGGCTGCTTGGGCCTTTCTGAACCAGCCAGGCGTTTGTGGCTGCAGGGTCAAAGAGTTGCCCTCTTCCCTTGTTTGGTGGCTCTACTTGTCTGGTTTGCCTTTTCCAGCCCCTGGACACCCTCTTGGAGTGTTAAAGTTGGAAAGAGTTCCCAAGGCATGAAACCTGCATATGATGTTCTGTGGATTAGTCATTCAGGAACAAGTTGGTTATACAGGGCAGTGGTGGCCGAGGAATTCAGAAAATAGGCAGCTTTGCCTTGTGGACATGACCTTGGAGTGGGACTGGAGGGCCTGGCTGTTACTGAAATCTCTCAGGTCTGTTTCTACTTGTATTTCCTCATCACTAAACTGGGGATCTTGGCACTTGGCTGCTTCCTGGGGAAGGTCATGAAATGCTAGATACTTCATCTCGTAGCGATGGGTTCCCACCGGCAGCGAATTGGAAACAAGTGGGCTTGGTTTTTAAATGTGCTGAGTCGTTTGCCTCTCAGAAGTGGAGTTGGTTAAGGGTTTGTATGGAGGGTCCCACAGAGTGAGATGTGTGTGTTTAAAAAAAAAAAAAAAAAAGCTTCCCATGTGTGAACACTGGAGAGGGAAGCCTCTTAAAGATCCATTGAGGGTGCCTGATCTCCTTGAGAGAGGTGTTACAGAGCGACACTCTCCTGGTTTCCTCCCAGTTGGTTTATAATCAGGACCAACAGCGCAGGAGCTAACGCAGGACCTCTTGGCACTGCATGCGAATCGAGTTCCAACGGACGCCATCTATGTGGTAGCCTGTGGGGACCTCGGTCACTGATCGGAACCCCTTGTGCTAGGCTCCTGCCCCCAAAGCACCAGCTGACTGAGCAGGCAGGTGCCAGTTGTTGCTCCTTGTACTGTGGGGATAAATATCTGTTGGAACACCAGTTATCTAGCCACCCTGTTGATGACTGGGTTTGTGAGCCATCACAATAGAGAAGCCAAGAATTTGTGTGGGCCACGTAGCCTGAAATCCCCTCTCGATTGGCAGATGCGTTGCCTGGGGGAGGGGGGCAATCTGGTCCAAAGACTGCTTTTGCTGCCACTCTGTTGTCCTTCCTGGTCTGCTTGCTTCTGAAGTGACTGTGCCTATTGCCAGCCTGGTGGGTAAAGGAGAGCGGCCAATCTCCGGGACATGCACCTTGTCGCACTTTCCTACCCTGCAAGCATAGGGACTTTCTTTTGAAATTGGCCCAGTTTTTAAAATCTCAGTACAAGGAGTGCCAGAGCCTGTTCATCGAATCGTGTTTGCTGCGCAGCAGTGAGTGACTCTGAACTCGTTAATTTGGGCCTGGAGGTCGGCTGGACCAGCAGCTTCCGGTCTTGTTGGAGGGGTGAAAACAAGCACACGCTGTGCACCTTGCATCCCAGGATTCCAGAGTTCAAGCAGTTGCTTCAAACTTGCTTGTCAGATGTGGCTGTTTCAGGCCTACAGGCTCTGCTACATCTTGGGCCATGCAGACCTTTAGCTGGGCGAAGCTTGCAGCTGCCCATGTGCATTATCCTGGTGAAGGCTGGATTTTCTATGGGGTGTTACTTGGATATTGTCATATGTTTTTAATCTCTTGGTTTTGAAAGTTTGTGTCTAAATCTGAGAGTAATTTTGCTTATGGGAGAAATGGCATCTGATAAATAATGATCTAATCTGATGTGCCTCAGAAGACTGGAGGTTTTTAAACACAGAATGGAGCTAGAAAATGCAGGGAGGTCGGGGGAAGAATGCAATCCACAATCAGTGTCCTCCCACCAGCCCCTTTCTACTGGAACTGATAAAATGACAAAAATGGAGGTTAGAGGGCCATGTGGCTGTGAAACTTTGCAACATGGAGGCAAGTTTTAGTTCTATCTTGAATGTGTTGATCCTGTCAGATAAGCCTAGCCCTCGGTAAAGATCCTTGTAGCGCAAACCTTTAATCTTTCCCCCACCTTCTCTTTCTGGAGAAATTGGCGAAGTAGCTCTAGTTAAGTAGGTAGATGAGACACAGGCAACTGCCAGACTTTGACCCCTGCAGACCTGCTTGGATTGAGCAGTAAAGTAAATTGGGTTTCAGTGCTGTTTTCTCCCAGCTGTCTGCTGCTTTGCAAGGCAGGGAGCTGCATTAACCGGGCTCCGTCAGGGACAAGCTGCAGGGCCTGCCTTATGCCACTGTCTCTGCTCAGGTTGTGCTAATGGGAGGGGGCATTCATGGGAACAATCGCTTCCAGTTGTTTTCTTAAGGTACGAAGTGCGCTTCCCTTCACTCACTGTTCATTTGTGGAGCCCAGCGCTTTGTGACAGCTGGGCAAACTCGGGTCGTTTCCAAAGGGGGTTGTAAGATCGTTCATGGTCCAATCCCTCACCCTGGAGTCAGCTGGGCAAGTGGGAACATTGGCTTTGAGAGCAGGACGGCTCCCTGTGCTGTAGCTGGAGGGCTGGATGCCATCACTTCACAGTCTGAGGGGTGGTATCTGTTTCTTCCCAGTGGGCAGTAAAGGCTTTACCCCCAGGGAAGAGTTGGCCAAGCCAGACCCTGAAACTGCCAGTGTCTCATCACCTGTCTAAGCGACCACCTTTCCCACCCTTGCTGTGTTGCTGGAATGGTGGAGGGAATGTCAAGAGCAGGGGCTTGCTGCAGACACCTATAAGCTGCTGTTTTAGGGACACATTTTTTCCCACAGACTCCAGGCCTACAATACCCGCCACCCCCCTGAAGATGGTGCTATTTTCGTCCCCAGGGACTATCAATACATTTGGCAGTTTTCTTCACCACCTTTCCCACCCTTGCTGTGTTGCTGGAATGGTGGAGGGAATGTCAAGAGCAGGGGCTTGCTGCAGACACCTATAAGCTGCTGTTTTAGGGACACATTTTTTCCCACAGACTCCAGGCCTACAATACCCGCCACCCCCCTGAAGATGGTGCTATTTTCGTCCCCAGGGACTATCAATACATTTGGCAGTTTTCTTCATGGACCTGGAAGTAGCCTTATTCATTAGAGTCCATCAGGAGTGCTAAATAACTCCTGTCACTGGTGCTGCTCACTGAAGAGCTGTAATTAGCTTTCTAACCCTGTCCTGGCTGCGAGGTCTCCTGCAGGAGTGTATTGACCACACATAGGCAAGTTGGCTTTCTGTATTGAACACAAACCTCCTGCGTAGCAGAGCTTGGAGGCCCTTTTTCTTTAGAGGGAGTTCTCATTAGAACTCGTAGGTTGTTGCTGTTAATTCTGCTTCTCTCGTTTTGCCTGAGCCAAAAGCATTTAGAGCATTGGTAGCTCTGACCGATGATTGCTTTCTAGTAAGAAATGAAACCTGTACAGTGAACTGTAAAACATTAATCTATTAATCACAGTTTGGGGAGTAACTAGTAAGTGTTTTTGTGAACTATCTGCAGCACTGAGGAAAATCACAATAAATGGGGGGGTTTTTAAGCACAAATTTAGTCAGTGTAAAAGTATCCAATTATTTTTGTTAACTCAAATTCCTTTCCCCCTGAACAATTGCATATTTTTTTCATTCAGTTTTTCCACAGATGAGTTGGACTTTATTAAATTTTGTGCCATTTTATGTATCCTTTTTGCATTATAGCTATTTAGACTGAATATTGCAATACAAGATGTTGTTGTGGGCCTTCAGGGCATAAACCCAATACTAAACTGACTATCCTTCTGGTATATTTAGTGCTTGTGACTGTCTAAAAGTCTTTTTAGTTTTCATGCTTTGATGTCAATATTAAAGATAATCTAACTGCTTCCTAAAGGTTTGAAGATGCTAACGCTGATGTTTGACCCTGTGACTCTAAGGTACATCTGGTTGCTTTTCTGGTGCAGTGGAATTGTCCTTTGGAACAGTAGTGTTTCTGGCGTTAAAAAGGTGAAGGCAAAATGGACTGATCCAGCCTGCTTGGCTCCACCCTCCTGCCCCCCAGTATAAATTCTTGAAGTGGTCAGTTTTAAATTTAAAAAAACAATTCTTTAAGTCTCTGTTCTTTTTCAGAAAGTGTTTTAGGAGTGGGAGTCTGCCCTGGCTGGGTGGGACTGGACAGAGGAATGCAAATGAAGTTGCTGTTGCTCAGGAATTGATCAGTAAAACTTTTAACTACTAATACAAATCCATTTTTAATGGATTTAAAACAAAAAATGCCCATTTTCTTGCTTAGAACATGTGATATGGGATGTTTCCTAGCAAATAGGAATTAGCTTATACATTTTAGCCTATACCATAAATTGAATTATTTAAAAAAATCAAACTTCCCCTAATTTATCTTTATTTGGTTTTTTTTTTTATACTGGTATGTTGCCCCATCATTCTTCCATAGAACTAGTGTGTGTGTGTGTGTGTGTGTGTGTGTGTATATATATATATATATATATATATATAAATAAATAAAAATATTTTCCACCCACCCTTCCAAAGTTCCCATAATACAAGAGTTAGTTTTATTCGCCCCTCCCTTCCCCTTTATTTTCTTGTCTTTGATTTGTAATGGAAATAATGCTTTGAAGTTTTGTCTTTCTATTAAAATGTATGTATTTTAAATACTGTGTCCTGTGGTGGTGCATCTGTGCTTCGGAGGCTGGTGGTTTTCTTTACTTTTCAAATGAAGGTTGTATCCTGCCCAGCGTGAGTGCCAGGATCTCACTCAGCGCCATCCTGCAATTCTCTCCGCTTGCAGAACTCCTGTCCTCTGTCACTTGGGCAACTGACTTGACACGTCATGGCATTAAACTCAATTGCAGAGTCTGAAGGCTCAGAGCGCTGCGTGAGCTCCAGAGCAGCTGGCAGCTGGAAAGTCACGTCACAGAAAGCGAAGTAATTCAGTGACTTGGTTACTCAATTTGTTTTGCTTTCATTAGATTCCTGGGTTTAAACTCACCTGCCTAGAGCCCAAGTGATGGTTTAAAAACACCTACAAAATGGGCATCTTCCAGTGCAGACACCAGCTGTCACAGTGCAAAGCATCCCATGGTTCACTGGATAGGGATGGGCTGAAGGCTTATAAGAGAAACTTCAGATACTGACAGCAACACACTGAGCAGGTGTCCCCTGTACACACTCGTTTTCTGAAGTCCTTCCTTTGCAAGGCTGCCTTCCAGCGAGTCAGGCCTCAATCGCAGCAGAGAAGTCAGTAGCCTTGGAGTAGTAGAAGGGGTAATATTGGCTGGCCTACTGAGCTTATTAGCTGCTCCTGTTCTGTGAGGGTCTGTAGCTACAATCTCCTACCTCGTTTCCCAGTTACTGCCCTATTGGCACTGCACAGCCGCTGTGGATTTACACAAGGGGATCTGCCACACCCATGTCAGTCCCCCAGCCAACCATTCTGGCTTAGACATGGCAACAGCAATGCTTAAGCTAGTTTTGTGTGTCTATTGCCTCTGCTCCAGTTACACCTTTTGGTCTGATGTTTGCTTCCTTCCTGTTCAAAGGGTCATTCTGAGGAGTTTAGTGTGGGCAAATGGGGGGTAGGAGTTCTCAAAGCCCCCGAGTTAAGAGCACAGTTCACATGGAAAATCAGTGAAAGTACAACTCTTCATTGAAACTTGTGTCCCCCTTTACACCTTGCTTTCCTTTTGAAGAAAAATTCACATGGATTTCTTAGGTAACATCTACAACATAAAACAATTAAAGGTGTTTATTTAAAACATTGATTGTACAACCTACGAACAGTATCAGAAAGTTTCCAAACCGATTTACCTTATATAATGCTTGTTAGAGCAACTAACTGACAAAAAAGACCCTGAACAGATAATTGAAAAACTTTGACATATAAATGGCCAGTAACAGATTCCTAATTCTCAAGTGTCTAAAACGGTTTCCCTTTAATCTTGAAATGTAATTGTTTAGGAGTCACTGTCTAGCTAGTTCTAATGAGTTACTGGGCGCACAACCTGCTCAGATAACTCTTCACAGCATGTCTTCATACATTCAGTTTAGTAATGGAAGTGAAATTCACGTACCTCCTAATCCAAGCACATAGCTGGAGCTGTTGCTTGCTCCCCGATGTGCCTCCCCCGCAACCCTACCACAAATGCCCATTTCTATACAGTGTGCAACAATAACAGTTCAGCTACGGCCTGCCCTTTGAAAGGCTGACGACGCTAGTGTCAGTGCTTTGTACAGGAAAAGCACAAGTTGGACTGGTGGTTTGCCTGGTGCAAGTAACCTGCAGCAATGTTCCAGTTCTGAAATCCTGTCTGCGGAGTTCTGTTCACAGGGACACCCGCTAGGGCTTTAAATCTTGACACAGGTTTCTCAGAAGCTGGTTGTGGGGGGGGGGGGGGGGTGAAAAGACA